AAGAGAGAGAGAGAGAGAGAGAACTGAGAATACATTTGTGTTTGTGAAAGCATAACTTTTTTATATTTACCAGTACTTGGTCCTGGATGTTGGGACCAGGTGGGGATTGTGTTCTCAATTGGCTCACTCTTGGTCAGAAAATTCACGAGTGTGCGTTAAGCCTCGTCCCTCATCCCCACACCTCTCTGTGTCCAGGTTCAGATGCTACATCTCCTCACATGGAGCATCCATCCACAAAACCAAACTCTTCCTGGAGAGGGAGAGCAGCCGGCTGATGGAGAGACAGGCAGTTCTGCGGGCGGCCCAGACCAGCTCCTCCCAGGACCCCGACCAGGATGGAGGGGTGACTGAGGAGGTGATAAGAACCCTCCAGCAGGTAGGGAGGAGCATAGTTCATCTCCTGCAGCAATAATGGTGTGACGACAGTTAGGTGACGGGGTTGTTAAGTGCTGCTTCCTTTCCTGTCGCTCCGTCAGGAGTCCAGACACGTGGTGGAGCTGCAGCGGACGGTTCAGAGAGGAAACACTCTCCTGCGGAGGAAAGAGGAGCAACTGGAGCAGCTCGAGAGCTCGATGGCCGAAGAGGTCCGGAGAAAAACCGCCGTCTGTGTCTGAGCTCTTACTGTATACTCAGTTAAAGTGGTACTTCTCTGAGGAGCTGTTGTACTTTAAGATTAACCAGCACCCTCAGTTATAGCTGATGCTGGAAATAATGATTAAAACAAATCTATTTACAAATAAATATACAATACAGCACATTTGTAGTTTTCTTGCGCTCTGTGTTCCTATTATTTGTGTTTGCTGTTTTAAGGATGAATCAAATCAACAGGTAATTATCGTGTCTTGTTCTGTCTGTGCAGCCGTTCATTGAGGATCTGTCTCGGCTGGCAGGAGAGAGGAAGGTGACTTTTGATGTGACTGAATCTGACCTCAGCAGCACTCTGGACCCGCCAGATAGGACAGGTAACACATAATTAAGGTTTAATTACCAAAGAAACGGAGATATTCAATGTTATTATTGCCATAGTGCTGATATTCATCTGCTCCTATCAGGTTATCATGTCAGCTACACTTAGATATCTCTCTCCCTCTCTCTGTCGTCATCAGGTCATCCCACCGTCCCGGACAAAGTCCAGGAGTTAGCGGAGTCCCTGCAGCAGATCTCAGGCCAGCTCCACACCGTCCTGAGTGTGTTGGGTTCACTGGCGCCGAGGCAGAGCGCCACCTTTCCTCCGCCTCAACATCACTCCTCCGCCTCTGCCTCCGTCCTGCACCAGATGCACACCCTGAGCTCCAGCTCCTCAGCTCCGCCTCCGCGGCTCTCGGAGCCGTCCTCGAACTGGGCGCCCCAAGGCAGCTCCACGGCCACCCCGTTCTTCAGCACCCCCATCAGCAGTGGGCTGAGGGCCTCCGAGGACCTCCTCAACAGCCGATGGCACCAGATATTCCCTGGTATGCCAACAGACGCCTCCTTTAGCTTTAGACTTAGTGAAGCAGCATTCATTTGTTAAAAAGAGTTTTTATCAGTTTGTTCTGTTCTCCAGGAGCAGCCATGGACCCCATCGCCTCCAACACCATGGGGTCTACCTCTGCTTACTCATCATACACTCCTGCTAGGTATCCTGCCACTCATACACCAACATGTTTATTATAGATTGCACACATATCAACGCCGTCTCGAATGAACGTGTGTGTGTCTTTGTGTGTTAAAGTGAACACAGTCGCAGCCTGTGGTCCGTGCAGAAGTCAGCGGAGGTGGACAGCCAGAGGCTGCAGGGGCTGATTGACGGCAACAAGAGGTGGCTGGAGATGCGCAAGAAGGACACCAGCATGTATCCTTCTATCACACACACACACACACACTCACACAAACTGACACATTCATATAGTTATTGTGTTTAATCTCCAAAAACAGCACACAATCCAGCATCTGGATTCCAACCCCTTCTCAATGTACCTGCTATAAACTGACATGCTGACATACTGAATGCACAGCGTCACTTGTCAGACAGTTTTAATGCCGTCACGGTCTTTAACTCTGCCTTCCAGACCTCTGTTCACTCGCTATCGCGCTCCTCCGACCAAGAGCAGCCTGGTCCAGCTGGGCCTGGATGACAACAACCAGATCAGAGTCTATCATTACTGAGGACGCGACGCACGGTTCAGTCCTTTCGCACTGTGACTGGAGCCGAGGACTTTGGAGCGTTAACGGCCGGGGCGGCGAGTCAGCCGTTTGTAAAAAATGGAGCCAATACACTTTTATTTTACATGAATTACTTCATGTTCCACAGATGTTGACAGTCATTAGCAGTGAGCCATTGGTTAGTGTACACTTTGTGTGCAGGTAGAGAAAACATGTATTTTGTGCATATACTGTATGTGTGTGTAAATAAATGCTGTATTTTTCTATGAAATATTTGAATAAATATAATTTGACATACTAATGCATTGTGTCCTAGTAGAGGCAAGGAACCTGGTTGTCGTCCTGTATTATATGTTCACACTGAAGATCAACGACAGAAGTCGCATTCAGAATCTGAAAATGAGATCTTTATTCAGTAACCGCTCATTGCAATGTTTGACATTAAAATCACATTTCTTTCCCCCGTACAGTACAGTGCAGAAAATACCTTTGCATTCAGACTAGGGCAGTCTAGAAGTAAATACAATCATCATCATTAATATTCTCCAATGAGCAGGACGGCTAGCTGGAGGATCTGACCAATCAGAGCACGGTATGCGACATGATTAGAACATTAAAAGGCCACCGACAGACTGGACAGAGCTCATGTTCTCACATTTAGGTTTGTAAACACACACACACACACACACACACACACACACACACACACACACACA